TTAACATGAGATACTTCCATGAAAACGCTCTGGAATGTCGACAGGGGAATGCGTAACGCGCCATTGTCGATCAATGAGGACTAGGAGTAATCTAACAGATTGGTTTTTGATTTTGCGCGCAAAGTTTGCCCTGATTCGGTTCCGGTCCGAAACATCACTCGCGATATGTACGTCGGTGGAAAAGAATGGACTCCCCGTTTTCGATGGTTGAATTATCAATTGCTCTTCTTTCATGCAACAACTTGGCTCCAGGAAAAGATCGAATCAATAGTTGCCCTCATCGGGTACCAGTGGTTGCGGCAGATGTCGCGGTGAGTACAACTTTGAGGACAAATTGCGGCTAGGCGAGACACCGTACAATGCGCTTTGAGAGTCGCGAAGTTTTCCCCACTCGGGAGAAGGAAATTTAACATGATAGAGCAATTTCCCTACGAATTCGCAAATCTTCTCTTATTTTTTAAAAGGGCATATAGAAAAATATCAGAAAATGTTTACTAGAAAACTGTTTGTCCGATCGGTTTGGTTTTTTTGGCAATATTTCAGGTAATAGATGAGAATATTTTTCAAAAATATGCACTCTAATAAAAATAAGCCAATTTTTCTTAAATTTCAAATAAACTCTTAAAAACATTTTTTCTTAAAACAAAGGACTTTTTGTATTTTTTTTATATGTTGATATGTTTCAGGGGACGAAAAATTCCATCTATTTCACTAAAGGTCAAGATGAAGAAATAATGGGCAAAAAAGTTATGATTTTTCAAAAAACTCAAGTTTTTCGAAAAATATCCAAAACATGGTTAAATTACTTTTTCGACTTTATATAATGAAAGTAAACCAAATTTACAGGGGGAGGTAGCTCATCGATTCTTCCGGTTCGCCTCCTAGCATCGTGCTATAAGGTACCAGGCGATAACCAGGGTAGTTGATCGATAGCTCGATGACGTCATTTCGTTGGCGTCTGCAATGGGAAATTCTCATAGCAGGCGTTGACGATGGGACGTTGTCGAGTTGTTGAATAGCAACTATAGTGGTAACTCACCGATTACCTGTCGATCTGCCAAATTTGGAAAGACGTCTGCATTGAATTGTTTCATATAATAATATTCCGCCCACTATATCACAAGAAATTGCGAGTAGCTGAGTGGAATGGAGATAAGTTAAGCATTGGGTACAGGACCAAGTCTCCCCTGAGTGGTGCCAGAAGATGAGCGCAATAGAATCATCAAGTTGCCATAAGGCACGGAATGAGACTATTGCATGGCTGGGTAGTCAAAGTCTTCAATTCGTTAGTCATTTCAGGTGGATTAGAACAGGTTTAGGTTTAGGGTGGGTGTTGGCCATATTTGGATTTTTCAAATATAATCCTAAATAGGACCTAGACTATTTAATACACTAGTAACCTCAACTTCTGTCACAATGTTTCATTGTGACTAATCAACACTCAATGGGTAAAATATCAAATTTGCGGTAAATTTGAAAAAAGGGAACTTGGAGTGTAGAGCGCACTGCCCACTGGACGATTCTGAAGCCTGACCAAGTGAGTGGGTTACGGGTTTATTTGATTGTACGTCATTTCCAAGTTATATATAGATACATTCATACCATTGACATTTTTTATTTGAGATAAGACAGAGACAGGATGCGGAGGGCCCGCTTAGGGGGAGCGTAACCCATGTTATGGCTTCCATTTATTAAATAGTTCAGATAGGCTGGAAATGATAGGTTCATGGTGAGAAAATGTACCATATGGTGCCCGTTCATTGATCAAAATTAGGTTCAAATCGTCAGGCTCTGCCCTGGAATAAGGGGATTGACGATGATTTGTCAAGTTTCATTTTGCATTTGCATATAATTGTAAGTTTAGGTTTGCTTTTGTAATTGTAAGATAGATAGTTTGCCTCAATTGAAACATTGAGTTGTATAAATTTGACGAATCATACCTCTAAAATAGTAGTAGTTACAGTGCCGCATTATCCACAACCACTGCCTGCAACTAATGTTGGAGGGGTTGGAAATGATCCCGAAACTAACGCTAATTCATTGCACTTTGAGTAATAAAGTAGTTTTATTTATTTTCCTACTAATCTATCTACACACTTAGTTTTTTCTACCTAGCTCGGCTATGCGGGTCTTGGTGGGGAGGGTTTCGCTAAGATCTCGGCGGGAGTGACATTTGATTGAGGTCTCGGATAATGCCTTTTCTAATAATCTGCCTACGTTTCTTTTCTTTGTTATCTACTTTATACCCTTTTTATTTTTCTGCTCTTCTTTCCTCTTCTCTTCTTTTGTTTTGTTTGTTTACATATAACTAATACTAATACCTCCTTGTTTTCTCTCTAATTTGTCTACTATGTCCCACCATCACGATGAGAGATGAGCTACCGTACATGGTACACGCTCATATACACTCCCAAAATAGTATGCCGCAAGTAAGTATATCACAGAGGCAACTAAAGATCCAGAAACAAAAACCGATAACGCTGAACGGCAGATTGGTTTACAGTGGTCGACCAGGGTTTGTGCTGATAAATTACAAAATTACAATTACATCATTATTTCATATATCAGCTTGAATTACGTTGATCGATATTACATTTTTTTTTGCTGTGCACTACACCACCGGAGCCAGCAAAGTTCAACAATCCATCGTTGCTTATGCCTTTGTTGTCGTTTGGAACCAGTTTTGCGAAGCAGGCGACGATTGTGCGTATTTCTCGCGTAACTTTTGAAAAGGGCCTAGCCTGAACAATACGTAAAGAGCTAATTGAAACATTGTACGTTGTGTGAAAGTGGAACTTAATGAAGGCCTAAGTACTTTTACGTAGTTTTTAGTTTTCGGATTTGAAAGATCGTCGGTTACAGTGGCCTGCTTACTGAGCAGAAAAACGCGGTCCCAGGTCCTTACATATCAAAGAGATTTATGGTAAAATCGCTTGTGTATCGTGTATTTTGCGAAACTCGTTGTTGTCGTTGGTTCCGGGTTTGAATGGATACAAAAATTTGAGCAACGGTATTATGTGATATGAGGGGCTCGGTGGCCTTAGAGCAACCGTTTTTGCTTACTGAGCAGAACATCATGAGTCTAATCTCAGGCACATCCACATTCAAGATTCGTCAATCGTTTTATTTGTTAATATGACTACATGGTAATAACAGAAACTCGGTGATTTAAAAGGTGCTCGTCTGCCTAGTGGCAAACGTTTTTGCTTACAGAGCAGAAGACCGTGGGTTTAGTCCCAAGCTCCTTCGCGTTATATTTTCGTTAGGACATCAATTCAGCTTATCGTTTACCAAAACGAACCCTGCTGCAAACCCAACCCTCTTATCCAACATCCGAGTGATTCCTCGTGGAAGTGCAAAGGTGTTCTCGGCTTCTATCAAAGCGAGTGTCATGTCAACACAATCCTTCCCATTCCTTTCTTGACCTGTGTTCGGGCGCGGCCGGCGCTGGTATTGCCTAATTTAAAATTACCAGTTTTTACACATTGCGGATGATTGCTAGTTCCAAGCATCGTCTATTGGTTCTGTGTAATTACAGCTGATCTGGCAATAACAGAGTAGCAACCGTGGGCGGTCAATCAAGCTCAAGCTCAAGCTCAAGCTGAAAGTAAACCAAATTTACAATAAAAAAGCACTTGGGAAAAATTTTGCTAAGTCACACCGTTTTAGAGATGTAGTGTTTTTAAAATGTTGGTAGTTTTTGGCCATTTTTAAATTTATTTTGCGGTTCTTCAGTACCTAACATATTTTTTTCCGAAAGATCACAAAATTTTACAATGAAAATGCTCTTGGTGGCTCATCAATATATTAAATGTCTTGTAAAATATAAAAATAAAACAATGCGACCTTTTTTCGTGCACCTCATAGGTATAAACTTGTTGCTAAAATGCTAACCTGCTACCTATTGCTAAGCAATTCAAGTGTCCTGCTTAAGTTCAATAATTCAGAAGACTACCACTTCGTTGAAATGAATACTTTTCAATATAAGTACATAAACGTGTTTAAAAAAAGCTGCTCGAAAAATTGCCGATATCTCACGGATACTAATATACAGAAATTGGTTGATCAGGGTCGATCGATAGCACAGGGATTTTCTAACATAGAGAATAACTTTCGAAATGTCACTTTTAACCAGGAGTTAAATTTAACTCGGCAAATGATTCCCAGCCTTAGTAGAAAAGACACCCTCTCCCTCTCTAGAACGGGGAAAGGTTTAGCAGTTCAGGGAATAATTTTCAATGCAACTGACAACCGCAGCATGCTATTAAAGCTCCGGTTGTCAAATAATCTGACGTCAAAAGCTATTTTTCAGATTTGGCAATACATATATAGCTGTATAAGACATATCGTCGATTTCTTTGAAGATTTTTACAAAATACACCTGGCAACTCTACAGGTTATACATATGTTGGACCCATTAATGCATTTAATTGCTTACATTCAATTGATCGAATTCCGGAAAAGAAAACAACCTTTTTGATTCACAGTAGAGGCATCGCCACCACCGAATCACCCTGTATTCATTCAAAAAACCAGCATAACTCTCGATCACAGAAAGCACTGCTTCTCTTGCTCTCACCAGCGAACTCCATTCTCTTTCCCATTCGTGACTTGTTGCATATGATCGATCTATAGGATCATGCTCTGTTTACGTTTGCATCTAATCTCAGTCGTGAGAGAATACACCCAGTCGGGAAAAACATATGTTTGCCTGCAGCTATGTGTATGCCATCATCCGGCGGGTTTTCCTCATGAGCGGGTTTGAAAATATCCCAGAGAGAGAGAGAAACAGAGAGAAAGAGGGAGAGTCGGGATTATGTTCGGATTATATGCTCTCCCTCTCTTCGTTCAGAGCTACTAGGTACTTCTTAGAACTGTTGGATGATGATGAAGATCATGACGGTTGGTGGATCTCGTTGCGCGTGTGGACTTCGATCGTCGTCGTTTGGATTCTATTTGATTGCTTGCTTACTTGCGGTGTAGTCCTCCTGCAATAAGGAGCTAGCTGACGGGCTGTGCTCATTGATAGAAGACGAAAAAACCGCGCGCGCGTGAGCTCGAAGAAAGGATTTGCATTTTCACATTACCGTCGCGATTGGTTCAGTCAGTGCGCTACCGACTGTCGAAGCTAGCGGACGCGGAACTTCCTCTCCTGTGCGTTCTGTTTCATACCGGGAAAGGGAGCATTCAGGATATTAGTGCGGTGATTGGTTTGGATTAGTGATTTGAGAAGAAAATAAAATCCAATTGTGACTGAAAAAATTAATGCGAAAAAAATTGTACGAAAACAAAATCTATCGAAAAGTGTGAAAGGATGTTTGAAACTGAAGATCAAAACCAAAAACCCGTGAAAATCTATTGAAAGTAATGTGAGAGTGTAAAGGGAAAAGAGTGGATCAGAAAAAAAAATTAAAATTAGTGATCGTGATTGACAGAAAATCAAACGACATTGGATCCGCTGGCGAGTGTTTTGTAACAAGAAAACATAATAAAACCCCGCTCCGCAGCAGTAGAGTACTGTAGAATCCGATTGGGAACAAACGACATCACCGCAGAGAAGTGATTGTGTCCCCGCAGCAGTTCTGAGCCGCAGACAATAAAGATTAATCGCCGCAGATTGGATTAAAGGCGACGAATAAAAAGGATCACTGGTTTACCTTTTCTCTGTGTTGGATTTTTTTTTGAAAAGGTTTCAACAGGTAAGCGGCGCTTGCGCTCTTTGATTGTTCTGCCTTCATTACTTCGATTGAATTTGCGAATCAATCAGTGGGCTAAAGGCGGGTTGAATAGCCTGCCCATATTTGATTAATTGATCCGTTTTTGAGGAACAATTCTCATAAATTCAATTCACCGTTGGTAATCTTCAACTTTGATGTAATGATGTATGCTACATATAAATTACTATTGACATAAATCTACTCAATTACATAATTAATTGGTTTTTGGATTCCAAGCCTTGATTGGAGAAGTAAAGAATCCGGATTTTTAATTTACCTCATGATTTGTTTTTGATTTTATTTTCGAGTTGTAATATCTAAAAATTTTGAAATCGTGAATACAACGGACAATCTTTAAAAAAATTTAAAATTATGAACGACAAATTTTCCATATTCTTATCCTCGAAAATGTGTATAGGTCTTATGGGTCTTTCGAGATTTGGAAAATTTATCTATATTTGGGATCTGACAATTTTGTTTAAATTGATAACCTTGTATTTGTGTGATCTGAGTTAAAAAATTATGAATGTTTGTTAAAAATTTCTGAGAATTTTTAATTTTCATGAAAACCTCTGTTTTGCTCAAGTTTGGAATTTCGAAAATTACTGTCCATGTCTTAAAGTTTTGCCTTTTTAAATCACAAGAATTTGATAAATTTTGTCTATTTTGATTTTTTTTTATCATGGTCACTTTAACACTCTTGGGTCATTCGTGACTGGTCCGGGATGAGATTTGAACTTTGGCGTGAGAGGTATGGATGTTAACCACTACGTCGGGGCCGTCTCCAATTTCGAAATTTTGTAAAATTTTCCGGTCTAGAAAATTGTTTCCAATTGTAGGATAATTGCACTTTATTTTAATAGGGGAAATGGCTCTAATGTTGGCCTATGAATCTAAAATTGAACCCATCTGCTATTTATCAGTTTTATCTAGATGAACGCGTCATTAGGACGGTACTTATGGATATTTTTGGCCGCTATTGAAAATTAAGTCGATTGCTGATTTTATGTATGGGCCCAAATTAGGGACGTTAAGGCCGACATTACATCCATTTCCCCTGCCTGATTTTTTTTAATAATTCCACAGTAAAAGGTTGTATTCGTTAAAATGACGAAGTCATTTGGTGACTTTTGAGTGAGTGAGTAATTTTCAGTTACACGTCCAGAGAAGGGAAGGAGAGGGGTGGCTTCAATGACTGCACTCCTTCACTGCGCCAACATTTAAACTCTCGCGTAACATTTGAAAAGAGATAGGCTAGGATAGGATTAGGATTCTCTTCATCGACTTTCTCTTTGGTTTACCACGGCAACATAAACGAATTTCTCGATAAGCTCTCAGCATAGTTCGACAGAAGATGATGTTAGCTTGTGCTTGAAACAACACGCTGAATGGGAAATTAATTTGCAGTCGGATTATTCGCGAAAGATAAAATCGATTAACAATGATAGGCCCTTTTTTCGTGTTTCGCGAGAACTCGTGTATTCTAACCCTTTTTCTCAGTGGACGCTGATGGTGTTAATTTTAGGAGCCGGCCTAATATTAGGCTATTTCTTCAACTAATATTATCTGAATAGTTGACATGACGCGTCAACTATCCATCATGTTAGTGAATAATAGGGGAATCGTTCTTCATGGATATTACGCACCAAATGGAACTTTCCCCCTGCCCTTATCTGAAACCTGCCTCGAGGAAAGGAAGTCGTCAAATTCTCAGACCTGAATAATTCATGTACTAACTCGAGAACCGAACCAGCCACATTTAGTAGGGTATTGCTTTTCAGATGCGCATTTACCGACTTAACTTATGGTCCGCAAGTTATTTGAGTATATTGATGATGAAATCATCATTTTTAAACATTTTGCATTCCGTTTAATTTTATATTTTTAAACGATTTAAAAAATCAATTTTTTTCATAAACATCCAAAACGAAGCGGTACACTAGGCCGTGGTGGGTCGCGGGTTGTCCGTATATGTATCTCAGTACTCCAGACTTTAGAACTTTATGGAAAATTGTTCATAATTTAGAATCATGTTAGGGACCATGTACAAATTACTTAAAGCAAAAAGGGAGAGGTGCGATGGTGAGTCCCTTTCTATGTAATGCAATTCCAATATTTTTTTTAAATTGAATGGCTACTTTATATGTAGTTGAAGATGCTAATTTCAAATAACAGACTGTAGTGGTAATTTTTATACGATAGATGGAGTAGATGAAAGCATAGAGTTGATAGTTCCGTTAGAGTACGGCAGTGTGAAGATTGCATATAGATATTAGAATAGCGAGCTAGAACAACTTTTAAGGAAGGTACAAATCGGTTTTTTCATCTCTCTTTACCAAACTCCCCCTTTGGAGAGGGATGGTGAGGGGTGTCCCCCGTTGACTTCACGTAGAAGTAATACTAAAACATATAGTCAAAGTACATAACTCTGGATGGGAGCATACCATCAATTACTGTCAATGGTCGAAAGGTACAGTAGCAGCACCTACCCCACCCGTGTCCCCTCGAGATCGTCAAGTCAACGATGACAGGAGCACATATCGTGGTAGGGGTAAACAATAGTTGCAATTTCCAAACCTACGACTGGATGCCTTCCTTCAAATAACAACTGAAGTGCGGTAAAAATCGGTAGAACTGTTTCAACACACACAGTTGGTACTTGAGCGGGTCGGTTTTCATCTCTTTTTGCCAGTGGTGGCGGGGGGGGACACCCCTCACCATCCCTCTCCAAAGGGGGAGTTTGGTAAAGAGAGATGAAAAAACCGATTTTTACCTTCCTTAAAAGTTGTTCTAGCTCGCTATTCTAATATCTATATGCAATTTTCACACTGCCGTACTCTAACAGAACTATCAACTCTATGCTTTCATCTACTCCATCTATCGTATAAAAATTACCACTACAGTCTGTTATTTGAAATTAGCATCTTCAACTATGTAAATCGTTGACTTCACGTAGAAGTAATACTAAAACATATAGTCAAAGTACTTTATATGGATTTTGTAAATTAACCATCTCATTTCAAATCAAATCCACATCTAGTTCAGAAAGGTTCAGAGTATGGAAAGTTCTCAAGAAGAATCCTACAGGGAATGGTTGATGATTATGATTACAACTACAACTGAAGTCACTTAGACTGTGAATCATTTGCCGAGTTTAACTTAACTCGTGGTTAAAAGTGACATTTCGAAAGTTATTTCTTATGTTCGAAAATCCCTGTGTTACCGATCGATCGGTTTTCGAGCAGCCACGGTTGCCAAAATTTAACTTCTTGTCTGTCAGAAATAACCTCGCTAGGATTGCAGGGTTAATCAATAACTTTCCATCCGACAAATTTTAACTAAAAGTTAAAAAAAATCTGCCAAATGGTTCAAAACCTTAGAGTTCCTGAATCAGATTAAAAAAAACTAATTTATCTCTCCGTCTGCACCAAAAAACGCTTCAACATTTGTAGAATCTTCTCCGAACAAACTGTACCTCTCAAAAACCGCACGAAAACGGCAAAAAGAAACACTGTGTATGCGTATGATCAAAACATTCTGATCAAGTAGTTTATGAAATACAGGTATACCTCGATATAACGTAACTGTTACTTTTAACTTCGATCGCTGATTTTTCAATCAAACAAAGTAACAACACCATCGGACAGATGAGACAATCCCCCATCAATTGGTTATGTTGATTTGTATGATTGAACTGATTTTTGCGAGATATAGACAATTGCACTCAAAAATAACAGTTACGTTAAATAGAGGTTATGACTGTCACAAGGCTATGCTTAGGAACGTGCGAAAAAGGATATTGTTCAAAATTGCAAAAACAAAAATGTGTATGCAACTTGATCAAGGGGTCTCAACTCTGCACATCTAAATCTGTGCCGAGTATTTTATCTGTTTTGAAAGTTGTGCCCAGCGTTGTGCCGAATGTGCCAAAGTGCGGCAATCAAGCTGTCGGTCTCAGTACCCCATAAGTTTGGCAACCCTGCAGTTATGACTTTTGAGATTATTTGATTACTTTGTCAAGTCCTCACGGATTGTTCAACGAGTTATGTGTGTGCATATTGCATAGTATTGCGAGGGTAATCACTGTGCCTGTCCTGTTTATAAGCTAAACGAACAACAAATAACACGCATGTGAGTCTTTTTTTGTTGAACATTAATTCCTCTGGGTTCAACGATGCCAAACAATGAGAAGATTGACTAGCGCTAGATCGTCGGGGCCACTGCTGGAACTGTTAGCCAGTATACGCTGACCGTTGCCAACCTCAAAGTTCTGCCCCGAGAAGGAAAAGGGTGACTGGTGGCAGAAGTTGACCATCCATGAGAAGAAAGTTCTGTACCGGGTGTCATGCTGGTAGACGTTCGTCGAATCCTTATCATAACTACTTTACCAGCAAGTGGAAGATGAGCCTCTACATCAGCACAGGAGCATGAATGCGAAAGAACGGATATGCAGCTTGAAGCATGTTCATCGAAATTAGATGCATTAAAAATGGAAGTTTTGAAAGGTTGGGCAGGGCTGCTCTACATTATCGTCGTGCTACTCGGACAATGCTACAACCTAGAAATCTCCGACCTAAAATTCCCACCGGTGATAATAGAAGCAGCAAAAGATCTTCAGTAGCTTCCTAATGTGAGCTGTCGCTGTTGGGTACTGAACTTGTCTAACTGAGTTATAAATTTTATTGGTGATAGAGTTAGACGACTGTGGCTTTTCCATGGCTTTGAATTTCTCAAAACCCTAATAAATAAACAGAAGGCCCAAACCGCTAAGATTCTTCATTAACAAATTTAAAATTTACTAGTGTTGCTCTCCTTCCTCTTCTTTCTCATGGCTCTCGACATCTTACTTTTAATCCGTTCATCCACATCTTCCATCGACTAATATACATCAGCATCCAAATGATGGTACAGGATCTTGCCAACGTTTGATTACTAATTCCTGATACTGCTACTAATAAGTTCCTTCATATTTTTCATCCTTCCTTGGTCTTGCCAGAATTGGATATTTAACGCCCTGAAACTGCTGGCGGTTCCGATTGCGTTTATTAATACCACGGTTCATATTGGGTTCGTTACCTCCGGTGTGCTTACCTTTACAATTCTGCAAGCAGAATCCTAATACGGGATCCACTAACTCCACCAGCCTCAATCGAAACTCCAAGATCGTTCAGTCCATAGAATGAGCTGTACGGCTGATTGATTGGTGGAGCATCAATCGTACCGAGTTGGTCTCCGGGAGAACCTGCTGCAGCAGGATAGTTCTACACCGAATTTTTGTTGACACCACACATCATTGCTGCAATTGGAACTGGATTCTGCATTTTTTTTTCTTTGTTAGAGTGACTTTCAGCCACTGGCTGGTTCGTCACTTCTTGGATTCTGCAATTCTCTTTACCTATACAATTGGCATTCGGATCGAATCTTATGACCATGTGGGGTTAATCCGTAAGCAGGCCTATTCTGCGTGGCATGGGAACTCAGATTAATTTGTTTGGATTCCCCCCAAAACATAAATCCTTTCGAAACTATGAACATCCCTCAAATACCCTGTACACTTTCTTTAGAGGTCCATTCACGAAAAAGCATGAGGGCACGGAGAGTCTCGTTAATTGTGGTCACTCTACACAGTGTGCCAAAATCAAACTTGGGCACACCCGGGAGCAGTCATTGGCGCTGTTTGGCACCCAAGGTTACAATTTTAATGATCTTTAAAGTTACTGGCAACAGTGAACTTTTTCTGCGCCTGCGCAGTGTGCATGTGTCAAAATTTGTTATTGATGTTGCCACAATATAATCAAATTATTTTAAAAACAACCGTGAATGTTCACCAAGTCTCGCCACGTCCACATTTCCTCGCAGACGAAGAACAGCTGACAGCGGTATCTTGACCTGACCGAGGTTTCCAGCTGCGGCTGCTTCCAATACTGCTGTTGGTCCGCCTTTTTTTTAAGAATTTTAGAGGTGACGGACCAGCAGAAGGAACAGCAACAGCAGCAACTAAAGCAGAAGCAGCATTGGAAGCAGCCGCAGCCGTGGGAGCTGCATCGCTAATTCTTGTAGCAGTGGCCGACGCTGGAAATCTCGGGCCGGTCATGACAAGCGGTGCTTGAGTTTTAATCGGAAAGTCAACAACCAAATAAAAACTATATCATCCGACCATTCGAACTGCTCGAATACATCCATGGCGGTGGCTGCTGCACCAACCATTGCATCGTCCAACATATAATGTTGGACGACCGTCTTGGCAAAATCTCAAATAGTTCAACAAATTATTTTTACTCTCCTGCCTTTTTGCACTTCCAACTAACACAATAAGAAATTATAATTACGAATCATAACATTAACTACACAGAAAAAAAGGAAAATCCTTTCTTTTTTCAGAAAAAGAAGCTTCCGCTCTTTCAAAGCTAACGTGTTCTTGATGTTCTCGTTGCTCCACGCACCGTTCATCTTCTTGGATGAGGAGAAGCACAGCTTTATAATGAAGGGGAATTTTGTGCATTTGTGATCGATCACGCTGTGGTTGCACTTCATGATGGCGTTCACCGCCAGGGCTACGCTCGGGAACTCGACCAATCCGGAGGAGGAACTTTCCGATTTCAGCGGGAACATTCGCACTTGCGACGGGTGGCTGCATTCATCACATTCGGCAACAGATCCTCGGACGGCATACTGGTTGGGTATTGAAGAAGTGGAGAATGTGATTTTTGCTGGCCTGGGAAGTGAGTGTTCTTGAAGTCGCTGTAGACCTTGAAGCTGATCGAATTGTCCGGCAGGGTGTACGGGTTGGTTGGAAAATGCAATTTGAATTTTGGTACCATCATTTCCATTCATTCAATGTTGTTCAAGCGCTGGATGCTGCGTTCGACTGGTTCGACTGCGATGGTGTCTCCCATCTGGACCATGGCGGTACCCTCTTTGAACTTCAGGAACTTTATCCTGATAATATTTCCAGGCAGAACAGATTGAACAGCTTATCGGTGTTGGCTGTGTTGTTATCGACTCCGTAAACCATCATCACTGCGCCCTGTTGCTGTGCCGGTTGAATGAAGTTGGCTGGTTCGTTTCGGGTCAGCGGTGCGTCCTTCATCAGTCCGACGTGTGTTGGTTTCCAGTTTTCGTACGGATGATACTCGGGCGGTGAAAAATTCGGTGCCAATCCGTTTCCTCCTCGGGCTCCCAGAAGGGCTGGTTGACTAATGATCGACGTTCGTTGTGCGGGGTCGGCCTTCCGCCGAAAATGGAAGGATCGTGTAGCAACGGAGCTCGTTCGTTGCAGGCATCCTTGGTGACGGATGTATCCAGTGTGTAGACCCAACTGGAGTTCGTGTCGTTTTTGAAAACATTGAAAAACAAAACAAATACAAGAGCTGTTAAAATACCGGGTTGCCAAACAAGCAAACAAATGTCAGTTCAATAACTTCTTGGCACTGCCGGTACAGCTGCGGCATACTGAGGCACACTGAGAAAAATGTTAGTGCAAAATAAGTGTGTAGAGTGACCACCTCTTGTCAATCTTTTATTATGATTAGGGACAACCTCGCTGGAAAATCGAAAAAAAAAACTGAAAACAACACCTTCCCCCTTACTTTGAAGTAAACAAAGTAGTAAACCTTAGCAACGCTTGGCAAAATGTCAACACAAAGCATTGATGCTGTGTTATATTATATTCTGTGTCATACTTATCATCGTGTTGATTACTCCTTGAAGTCGATGCAAAACTCGATTTTTTCAGCACTCGTCGTAATCTTTCAACTCAACAAGTTTCGTTGGATAAATGTATGACTCTGTTTATAATACATTGTGCCGTCAGCGTTGGAGTGCTTTATCTGCCACCAGATTGTTTCTCATCCAGCAGCATATTACATCTATCGATTTCGTTGTATCGTGGTGTCGCTTTCCAGCTCGGTGACTATATTCACTAGACTGATGCAAAATTTGAAATTTTCGCTCCACAGTGCTCAAACGGTTTCAAATCAGGTCCTGATTAGCCTCCCAAAATTTAAACTCATTTGGTAAGAAACTGACTTGGCACAAACTATTCGAAGTTTATATGGAAATTACTATGCGAAAACCAAACTTTTTGTTCATTGTCTTCTACCCAATTTCCATATTGCTTTTTCGAAAATTTCTATAACTATTCTTACGGGAAATTTTCTAAGCTACAACATTGCCCAATATCGTTTTTCAGCCAAATGTCAAATCTAATTGTTATTAATTGTTTAAAAGATTGATAATCTTGTGGCATGATCAAGCAACTGTTCTGTAGGCAACACTATATTCTGCAGTGTGACATAGTAGCCATGATATTTGTGCTCTATTCTTCGCGTCAGAAACACCAATGTTGCCTGCTGAACAGTTGATTGAGCATAATCATAAGACATCAGTGACTTGAATCATTAATAACTTATGTTCCTTACATTTGATTGAAAAGTGGTTTTGAACAAAGTTGTAGCTGGGAAAATTTGCTACAATCACTGCTATCATTTTTAAAAGCATAGTGATGCGGTGAATTTTTAGATAGATATGAACAAAAACATAAGTTTTCTTATAGTAATTCCCATATAAACTTGAATTGGTTTGTGCCAAGTCAGTTTCTTACTAAAGTAGTTCAAATTTTGCGAGGCTAAGCAAGACCCAATTTGGAACCGTTTAAGCACTGTGGAGCGAAAATTTCAAATTTTGCATCAGTCTAATAATCACCCTTAAGGGGGTATTCCCAATCTTTTGCCTTTTTTCGGCCTGTTTTTCAATTAATTTTTTTTCAAGGAAAATGAATAGTAATGTGCCTAACTCTTTGGGATTCTTGTTTATTGAACATTAAAGTTTACAAATAAATTTTTTTCGACACAAAAAAAGACATTATTGACGTCACAAAATGGTGGCAAACAGACCCCTGTTCGCCGCAAACGCCTGGACGGGCGAAGACTTTTCTCTGGAACGGCTTCATCTGAAACAGATTTCGTGATGAAATTATAATCTGCATAAGATTCTCTGGAGCTTCTCCCGTTGGCAGCAAAAAATCTTGCAAATTAACAAAATGGCGGCCATATGAAAAAACAGGCGATTTTTAGCCCGCTTTTTTGCAGCTTTAAGGTGCTTCAAACAATGTTAAATGTTAATATTTTTGGCTGAAAGTGGGAGAAGCTCCAAAGAATTTAATAAGGAACAAAATGCGCAAAGATTCAAGTCAATATCTCTTATAGTTTCTGAGAAAAATCTTCGCCCGATAAAAAAATGTGGTTTTGAGAAAAACGCGTTTAAAGTTTTGACTTTAGTTAAAACCATTTGGGGGTTCTTACCATTAGTCAGCTATGCCTGGACACCGAATTCGCTGATCGGAAAACGGCTTGGGGGGATGAAAGTATATAGTCTAAAGTACAAAAAAACGTGAAAAAAAAAAAATTTGATTTTTTGAAAAAAAAGATCGGGAATACCCCCTTAATTGCATTGGATACCTTCAGAAGATGGAGGTCTCAAAGTAGATTCCAGCAGGTCTCGACTGACGACAGCTAGTAGCATGTTGTACAATGCATTCTGCTTCCATAGCCTGACACAGGTTAATGGCGTTGTGAATTCCAATTAACGGATTCTCGATTTTGTACTCGTTAATAATACTGGGTTACAAAGCTGATGTGTTTCCGACGCAGCCGAATCACTCGTTGATACTGACACCGCACACCCTGCTATTGATGTCACCGTATCTATATCGTTACCGGTGAGTCACGCGCCACTTCAAAATTCTAACCAGTTTGATTTTCGTCGGGTAGACTACGACCTGATAAACGATGCACCGTCCTCGATCTTTTGGGAATTCCTGGATTCTGAGCTGGCTGGATGAAATCGTTGGTGTTTTCAACACGGAAATACGTCACTTCATCGAAGCTAACATGCCTCTTCAACGTTCTCCATTGAAGCCGCCTTGGTCAAACTCCAGCCTTTGCAAATTGAAGCACCATAGACGATCTGCGCTTCGGAAGTATAGTCGCAATAGGTCTCAACAGTTGAAGCATCGCTTTGTGCTTGCTAGTAACAAGTATGCTCGGTACAATCGTATTCTGTATGCTCGGTATATTGATCGAACGCAAAGGAACTTGCGTTTATACTAAACGTAAGGAAGATGGTTTACCTGGTTACCTTGGTTATCCATGTACTTTGATGAGCATTCTGCTAGTTCAGCGTCTAGTAAATGTGAGCTATTTGCCGTTCACTTCAAGAATGCCTTCTCGAATACATTGACCACGCAAACGCAGATCGACGCTGCCCTCAGTAATACTCCATCGCACAACCTTGAACTTGGAATTTTTCTAATCACCGAGGAGCACGTCCAAAATGCTCTACGTAAGTTAAAAAATTCAGTATCACCTGTTCCTGATGGGATTCCTTCAACCGTACTGAAAAAAAATGCTCAAGTGCTCTGCTGAAACCATTAGTAAAACTATTCAACCTCTGGTTTCAAAGGAAAACATTTCCTACTGGATGAAAAACTTCATTCCTGTGTCCGATTCACAAAAAGGGGGACAAATGTAATGTTGCCAACTACCGGGGAATTACTTCGTTGAGTGCCTGCTCTAAATTTTTTGAGATTATCGTTAAATATATTCTCTTTGAGGCTAGCTAGAACTACATATCCTCTTAACAGCAAGGATTCTTCCCGTCACTACAAATCTCACACAGTTTACTTAACCCTGCATATGCTCGATGGACGCTAGTACGCAAGTAGCTGCCGTGTACACAGATTTCAAAGCTGCATTCGACCGAGTGAACCAAAATATCCTACTTGGAAAACTTGGGAAACTTGGACTTTCCTCCGACCTAGTAAATTGGTTTAGATCGTTCCTGTGTGGAAGGTCTGTGAAAGTAAGGATCGGCTCTTCATATTCAGACGAATTTTGCATTCCTTCCGGCGTACTGCAAGGAAGTAATCTAGGCCCGCTTCTCTTCTCATTATTCATAAATGATATTTCATTTGTTCTGCCACGCGGACAGCGAATATTCTATGCAGATGACGTTAAGATATTTATGGTAATCACTTGTATTGAAGACTGCGT